GGTGGATTTTGTGGTAACCCGCATATTTCTCTTTTGATTTCATCTGAGTAGAGTTGATTCCTCGAATCTTTACCAATGATTTCCGAAAAGTCCACTAATTTTCCCGTACTCAACACATCCACGAGTGATTTTACTTTTAGTAATATCCGAATAGTTTACCAAGTATTCCAATTCACCAATAAATAATTTAAATTCCATTTTGTTTCGTATTTGTTCAATAAATTAATTTCTTCTTCTTTTTATTTTGTAAAAGTCACTCAACGTACTTATTTTATGAAATTGAATACTTAAGAGTATGCATCCAGTTTTACAATTCGCTTAAAGCTGAGTAGTAGTTGATTTTCGCAAAATAATTTTATTATTTGATGATGTCAATAATTTTACCTACTGTTGGTTATTGCTGGTGAATTTACTTTGGGATTTTACTAATAGTAGTAATGAAGGAGATACCTAGTAGCTGTATTGGGTTAATCAGAGATATTTTTAAGCTTAAAATATTTTCGACTGTTTTAAACCGTTTAAATTTTGGCGATGCAACTATGACGTCACGTACAAAATATTTTAAACCAAAGCTAGAATTTTTGAACCAGTCGGAGGCATATTATGATTCAATAACGGAGATTCTGATTTTGGCTGTTGTATGTTATTTTGCTCTGTTCCATCTTTAAACATTTTGTTGATTTTTATTTATTTTTAATATTTTCATGCATAACATATTATGTGATACATTAATTGGTTGTAATGTTATAATACAAATATTAATATTTATGGTCATTATAAACAGTTGGACAATGTGATCTACCTATAAGTTACTCTTGATTATGAAACAATGATGCAATTAAAATAAGGTTAAAGGGGGACCTATCAGTTGTACGTTTTTTGCAAAAATAATTACGTAGTTTGCTTTAGATTCTGAATTTGCCAGCATATATTTAAAAGTAATTAAACGTTCTTTGGCAGTTGATGAATTTTGAAAAAGCTCAAAAAATCTATAGCAAATAATCGTTAGACTAGACAAATCGGAGCCTACCCTATTTTTGAAGTTTGGCATCACTGTTGATTATTTGGTTGAACGTTGAATGTAGGCACTTCTAGTAAACTTGTCACACGAACAAGTACATTGGGGGTTTTTTAGTATTAATTAATAAATCTAAAAGGGTTTTACCCATCTCATGGTGATTTGAGTAAAATTTATGAGAAATTGCATTTAGGAAGATATTGATTTCAAGCTTGATGAATGTTTGCTGTTTTGAATTGTTATTTTGGATGAGCTTTCCTGATCTCGTGCTAGAGATAGAGTTTTGTACTTGTGGTGGAGACGAAGAATCTGACTGGGTAAAAATGCAGTTTAAAGTAAATCTGCACATTACTAAAATTTTTAGTTTATGTGGAAGTATATGTCATTAAAAGCTTTAAAATAAAAAAAATCTTGGCGGTCACTAATTTAAATAAACTTAGTCGCTCTTTAAATGTTTACTTTTTCCCTTGTATTTGCCAATGCAGGTGATACTAGTGATACTAGTTTACTGCAATTATTCATTTTTATTATAGTGACATAATATACTGTAAAGTGACAGTAGATTTGAAATATGTTACTAAAGAAATGTAGGAAGTTAACGCAAGATCCTATGGTTATTTTTTTGTTGCTTGCTCGAGATTTATATGATCCTGTAGCATTGGAGCTTTCTAACGATATAGAAAATAACGATGATGGTGAAGGCGGTAGTGAATATGGGGGGTGATGAATTTTTTATGTAGCTTAGGTTAGGTAATAGGTAAATTAGTTTTTATTTTTATATATTATAATATATATTTTTTTTTACGAATAAATCCGTGATGGCTACCAGCCCCACAGGTTAGGTAAATGAGTTGTTTTTAAATTGTTTTCTTATTTTATGTATAGTTTTTTGAAGAAATAATCTGCGATGGTCACTGGCCTCATCGGCTAGGTAAATTAATGTGTTTTTTTATTATTTTGTTTAATTTTTTTTTGCAAGGTAATCCCAATGTTTTTTTTTTAATTTAGCATTTTCTATAACAAGAAATTAATCAAAATGCGATACATAATGGTCCCAAATGGTCTAAAATGGTCCTAAATGATCTAAAATGGTCTAAAATGGTCTAAATTGACTTAAAATGATCTAAAATGGTCTAAAATAATCTAAAACGGCCTATCTAAAATGGTCTAAAATTGTCTAAAATGTTTTAATGGTCTAAAATGATCTAAAGTGGTATAAAAAAAGCTATTCGAGCAATGTCAGATTTTTCTTTATTTTTATATTTTCTAATGAATAAAATATAATTTGTTTCATTTTGAAAAAATGGGGAAGGGAGTAACTTTTATGAAACCGTCGGGATTTTTTTCATTGTTGTGTTTGGAAGACTTTGTTTTTTTTTTTTTTTTTTCTTAAAATGTGGATTCACTCTAAACTGCCTTGTTTCCTCTGACTATCTGCTGGACCGCTTTTGTGGATATTTTTATCGAATTTGAGACACTTCAACAGATATCACCTGTATGTGAATTGTGTGAATTGTTAAGGATATCTGACGAAGGGTCTTTTTTTAATCCTGGAGGATTAAGTTGTAAATTTGTGGATCTTATGAAGGCCTATTTAGGGCTAGGAGACTCTCTCATGGATCGGCGGTGGACCAACTCTTGCACCGTGATGTGCACACTCAATAAATTGTGTACCAATTCAGGATCGTCTGCTGATCTGTTCTGGATGTATAGAGCCGTTTTGCATTGGAAATTTTGGACAACGTGATATTGTTCAAGTAACAAACTATCTGATGGATTGCAATTATCATATTGATAATTCAGTCTTAATGGTTTAAGTTAATTTATTTGCAAGTTATGATAGCTGAACTCAAATAATATATAAAATATTTTTCCGCTTGCTCTTTAAGTTGATGCAAAGAATGCCGCAGTATTCTTCATTTAACCTTTTTTAATTATGATATAATATTGTAACTAGAGGAGATATTCTACCCCTATGGTTGGATCTCTTAAGTTTGTAAGGGCAGAAATTAGTTTTCCTAATTTAAACTACTTTACTACGATTTGAATACATTTTTTTATGGGATATATTGCTTAAATACATAACCTTGACGTTAGCTATGGTACCATGGCTAAAGTCCTCAAGAGTTACTTTCCCTATTTGACTTATTTAAATCATCGAGAGTAAATTTCTGTCGATCTATTGATTTAAATATATCATTCTAGGTTTTATTTTTAATATACCAATTTACTTGCCCCTTCCACTAGAAATATTTTATATTGATATATTCTATAGATTATTTTGTCAATATTTTCAGTGTATTATGGAAACTTTTTTACTGATTATTTTGTGGGTATTTTGGGTATTATTCTTTATATATTTTCCAGATAATTAATAAGTAAAATTCACTCCCACCTCCTCATAAGTAAAACCGAGGCATAACAGTTTACATCTGAACAACTAACTCTTGTGATGAAATTTTCAGTTAAAATGTTAACAGGTATTTAAAATAAATATGTTTGTTGCAAATAAACATATTTATAAACAAATAAATATATATAAAAAAACAGTAATTAGTTATATAACAAAGGCAACGAATGTATCCAGGAAAATTAAATTTTTATAATTTAGTAAAACAAGAATGTGAAACTTATTTATGACAAATGAAAATAAAAGCTGAAACATGTTATTTACGACATTTTCGTAATTTTCCAAACCATCAATTTATTCTTCAGGGAACGCAAAATAAGTTTTACGGATCTGATCAGGATGGGATCAGTTTTTTGGCCACACACAAAATCTACTAAATTAAATAAATTGATGACTTTGTTCCAGTTGATTATAGATCATTTGCCATACCATACAGGCACCTGATAAAACTGTCATAACAACTGTAGTTTCTATTGATAAAGAAAAACACTAACAATATTTTAACTTAAATACATAACTGTTTAACTTGAATATGCTAACGCAGTATACTAAAACAGATTTGGAAAAATTTATTACTCTTAGAAATTTGTCAAAAAAAAAACATATTTAGCGTGTTTCTTAGAACGACCTTTTTTGAGCCTGAAAAAAGGTCTATAAATTTTTATTTTCTCGAAACCAGCCACTCAAAACTGTACGAAAAATGAAATGTTCGGTTAATTGAATTTTTGTCAAATTAACAGTTTTTTTTATAATATGGGCCACTTTGGTTTTTTAAAATAAACCCTGTATATTGTTTAATTTTTTGATTCTACTCTTCAATGACAGTTGCACTATATGTTTTCTTTTGTTTTATCTTGTGTTTACAAAACCAAAATATCAATATTTTCGAAAAAACGGTCAATCTGGAAAAAATACAAAATTGAATATACTAATACAAAATTCCGAATGAATTACGATACGGCTATGAATAAATAAAGTCTAATTTATCTGTCAAAACAAAAGGTTTATTACAGTAAAAACCATGAAAACATGATTAATCTAAACGAAAATTTTTAATATACCGATCAAATGTGTTACAATTTTTATTTTAACTTAAATAAGCAATAAAGGATGAGGTATAAATAAAATGTCTACGTTTTGAACCTGTACTACGTTCTGCAAATTAAATTATTGCACCCCTTTTTCTCTAGATTATAATAGGCGAGATAACCATCAAAGATGGTACATCTAAGTGTCATTTAAACCGCCAATTTTAAATGGGATCAAATATGGCGAGTGGCAACTTATTTGAAAGGTCTTTTAATATTATTTTTGTTTCATGTAGTTTTTAAGTTATAAACATATTTTATTTCTAATATTTACCACCCTTGGGAAAGGAATTTAAAAAAAGTTTTCTTAGACTTCATTGCTTCAAATTTTCACACTTCTTAGTCTAGCCGTTAGGACTAAAGATTGATTTTGAGAGTATTAATCAACCAGGAACTTCTCAATTGTAGTTTTTATTATACTTAATAGTGATACTACTCTTTTCCAATAAACATTTCTTTACTAATAACCATTTTTTTTTATTAGGTGCTAGATGGTGCTGACGTAGTCCTCTCAGGCAACTCCGACAAAGATGGCAGTCTCAACTTGGGATTATCCTTGAAACCAAGTCCAGTAGGAGTGGAGGAAAGCCGTAAGAAGAAGAACAAGGGAGGCGGCGGCATGGACGCTCTCATGGCCGCGGCTGTAATGAAGATTGGTTTATTGAAAGCTCTCGCCTTCAAAGCTTTAGTGTTGCTCGTAGGAAAGGCTTTACTAGTCAGCAAGGTAAGTTATTCTAAACCATTTTTCATTTAGGATTTTCCACTAGACCATTTACTGTTGGGTTCTAATTAACAGTAATGTTACTAAAGTGGGAATGGGAAACAGTAATAAAGCCTACACCGAACACGAATCTAATAACCGTAGTAGTTGATGATGATGGCACACAAAAAAAATACATCCAATGGTTAAATGCATTCATAATTGAGGGTATATTCAGTCCCCAATCAGTTATTGGGTTCTATTATATTGAGACCGTGCATCAATCAATTAATTCAATAAAATTCATTTGCATACTTAGTTGTAAGCTTACAGCATTTGGATAGTAGTAGTATTTGTTTATAGTTTTTTGCTTCAAATATTTGATCCTCAGTCTGTAAATAAATATGTAAGCGCTTACATATTAGCTGCCTAGGCAGCTTCTGTTGTATAGAACAACTATTACTCTAGTATTATTTATGCTAGTCTTGGCATAGTAGATGTATGATTAATTTTAACAAAGATTCTTTTATAAACTATCGGATTAGCTCCTCTGACATTTGTTCATCAAATGTGTTATGTACGTTCTGCCGGACATTTAAAATTTCCTAAAGCGTATCTCAATTCAATAGATAAGACAAAATTTTTATTTATATCAAGGTTCTCTGCATAGAAATCTTTAATTTTCAATTCCTTGAGAATTCTCGACTAATTTTTTCCTTACTACATCAATGTCATTAACTTTAGCTTCTTCTGTAGCGTTTTTATACCATCAAATTCAAACAATATTATTAATATATTTTAATTCCAGTTTTCATTTGCACCGATTTCTTAAAAAAATATCCACTTTTGTTAGGATCCTCTCGCCTTAAATTCTATATTTTTAAAGCAACATCAAAGGAGTAGAAAAGCTTTTACATTTTTCTACATTTTCTTTTATTAAGGTTTCTAAATTAGTTTAAATTTTCTGTCACATGAGGAGTTTTTCTTGTAATTTTTATAACGACGATAAGACTGAAATTCTAGAGGCACGTATTGTTTTACAAAGCCAATAATTAGACATTTAATGAGGTAGAACATAATACAAAGTAGGGCTATTTTAAAAGAATAATTATTGATTAGTTTAAGGTACAATAAACCAATTTTAAATACGTTGTTATTTCAAATAACTGTTTGACTATTTCTAAACTTTAAAACCATGTAATCTATAGGCAACACCATATACTTCATAGATATAAATAATTTACACAAAATAGTAAACAGAATAACAGTAGTAATGCTTTATTCTTAGGTAGATGATGATGGTAGAGAGTATGCAAGACTTATTTACCAGTAAAGTAGAGTTGGTTGCCTACATTTAGCAATATAATATTAATAATATTATATTTTACCACACTTTGTTGTTGTATCATCTTGTTTTTGATGTGTGATTAGCTTTGTAGCTTGAAGTATACTAATATGTATGCAGTGGAAGCACTAGTAACTGGGCTTAGGGGTACTTAACAGAATGCTTAAGACAATATATGAATATAACGGAAGTTGAATTACTTAAGTCTGTGGGAACTTGCAAAAAAATCAATTCATGCTTTCATCTGGAACATTCAATAAGAAAAAATTTGCCACGGTAACATTGCATTTTCAATCAGAGTACAGAGCACAATATTTATGATAATTCAGTGAGAATAACACAATATCCAAGTGGGTAAGATCCCGTGACCTTTGAGGTAGCATCAATGTTTATAGTGTACTACTCAAAAGTAAAATGTAACGACTTAAATATATTTTTTTTATTTAAATAACTTGCTATTACAATTTTTTATACAGGGTGATTCGTTAAAGGTGACGACCGGCCGTATCTCAGAATATCTTGAAGTAAAATTTTTTTTAAAGAAACGCAAAAACAGGACGACTTATATTTCAAGGGGGATATCTTTCTATATTATCCTTAACTGTCATATATCATTCTCCTCCCCTACTTTAATCTATTCAATACAATTTAAATAGTGAAAGTACCAAGTATGACACATCGTCAGAAAGGTAATTTTAAGGGGAATTCACCAATGTGACTTTTTAATGCGTTTATTTTAATTTTAGCTTCTAGCGAAATAAAAAATTATTACCTATGGTAAAGTGACACTTTATTTTAAAGGTAATTTTATTAGTAATTTAATGTACAACGTAATATTATGTTTAAATTTAAATTTATTTTGTTGGAAGTGCAATATAGAGATACCGTCAACTGGGGTGACTTCGGACATGTTTTACAATATTTTTGATCACTGACCAAACACCAGAAAAACTGAATTTCCGCTGTTTTCGCTAAATATACTCCTAACATCTAGGAACATTCTGGCAGTCTCAGATTTTTCATATTTGCTTCCATATTTTCGATTTTTTGTTATAGACTGTCCAAACTTACCCCATCTGGTGGGGTGACTTCGGAGAGCCGTTTAAAATTACATAAAATCATTTTTAACCTCGTTCAGGGGGGGCTCCGGACCAAATTTTATTTTTTAATTTTGCACCTTATGTTTTTATGAGAGACACATAATTTTATTATAGAAACATTATAAAAGCCAGCCGCTTGTCGTATGTTTCTGGTGCGAGCTTCGACGTGACGGATGGCATTTTCTTATGATTCCTCACTGTAGTTTTGGTAGCTTCTATCCCCAATCACTTTTTTATACGTACGAACCATGTCCAAAATCGCCCCCCTAAATATGAAAATTATTGTTATCACCCTGTAAAACATGCGCGATCGCAACAAGGTTTTCGCTGTGACCGCTTTGGATAAGAAAACACCTGTTGTCCGATGTCACCCCATATATTGCACTTCTATTAAAATAAGAGTATACTACTTTTTGTTGTAATATATGTAGTTAAAAACTTTTAGTTTACAATATTAGAGCCATAAATAAGATTTAGCAAAAAAATAAAGTGGCTCAATTTTTCAGAATTAGTTCGGGTAGCAAACAATATTGCAGACATTCTAAATGTTGAGGAACTGTTAATTTTTGATTAAAAAAGTATAATTCTGTAATTAGTTTACTAACTACTATTCCTGTAATACAAGGAGAGGCAAGATTAGGTGCTTACAGATTAGGGAGTACACTGGGAAATCTTGACATTAGGCCAGGTCACATGAGTATCTCAAGGTTAGTGACAGGAGACGTGCTAGACATGAGATCAGACCACTTAACCAAGAGGTACTCTTTTGAGGTTTTAATACAGAAAAGAGAGGAGATCATCATAAGGGAGCCCAATGCCCAACGACAGGAACAAACCTGGTATACAGACGGGTCTAAGACTGCGGAAGGCACTGGGGCAGGAGTATTCTCCAAAAACCCTGATACTAACCATAACTATGCTCTAGGAATACATTCCTCGGTATTTCAGGCCGAGGTATACGCAATTTTGCAATGTGCAAAACGAACAATGAAAGAGCAGTCGAAAATCAGCATATTCAAATAATATCAGACAGCCAAGCGGCACTTAGGGCCATATCGAGTCAGAAAGTTACGTCGAGGCTGGTATGGGAATTAATCGAAGAACTAAGAACACTGGCAGACCGAAATAGAGTAAAACTATTTTGGGTGCCAGGTCACAAAGGAATCGAAGGCAACGAAAAGCCTGACGAACTTGCAAAAAAAGGGTCAGAAGAAACACCGGAACCTGACACAAACCCAGGAGTATCAAAAAGTACAGTCCAGGGTTTTATAAATGACTGGATTCGGGAACAACATATCAACTATTGGGGAAGCACCCCAAAACAGGCACATGGAAAAGCCTTCATAGGCAGACCATTTCCCAAAAGAACTGGAGAACTACTCTTAATGAATAGGAACCAGTTGAAAGTGATAACAGGGTTCATGACTGGGCACGCCCCAGTAAAGGGACACTTGAACAAAATTGGCACATACAATGGGGAACTCATGTGCCGACTATGTCACAAGAAACCAGAAACGGCCAAACACATACTGTGCGAATGCGAAGCTCTAGATCGCAAAAGGCAGGCTCTTTTTGGATAACCCCAGGTTGATCCAACAACGTATAGAACCCATTCACCCAAGGATCTGTACAAACTTGTACAAGATACAAAGGTGATAGAGTGGGTGCTATGAACTAACATGGGGTAAAACACAATAAGCCAATAGGCTTCAGTGTTATTCAGAGACACATAGTCAGACGAGACCAGGAGAAAAAAAACTACTATTTCCACCAGAAAAGGGGTGATATTTCTGTTCTCTGGTTCGAGATGATTTACCTCTCTTTACTATTTTACCTGATGACTTCTCAGTGTCTTGAAGAAGGTTTTGAAATAACCTTTTTTAAAGTTCACAAAATTCTACTAATTGGGACAGATCTTAATTTTCCAGCCTAATGCTGTCAGTAGGATTTCTTTAGAACCTACTTTGGTGACACGTATATTTTTCATATTTATCAGTAATAGTTCTATTACTCGTTTTGTAGTTTTGACATCATGTATGTGTAGTGGATGTGGTTATGTTATTGTCACTCGAAATAAGAGTTCTATTTCATTTGGGGCAGTTCCCAAGTTTCCAGCCAAATGCTGTCAGTGAAAATTTTTCTGGTCCCATTGTGGTGACATTTACAATATCTGACACACACCTTTGATTAATTTTTTTATTACAACTGATGCCATCACGTTAATACTTGATTTTCAACGTACTATTTTATTTTGGACTATATTAGGTCTATTTTGTTGATTATAGCTAGATCTCAATAGCTTCTTGTATTTAATTCCTTTAAATTGTAGTGAGAGTGTGCTGGATTCAGTTTATATTTTGAATTTTGCGCACATATGCATATATTGCTTATTTGATATTTCAAGACTATAGTTCATATTTTTGTATTTTTTGTATGGTTATCTTAACCAATCAATAATGATTTAGAGTGCGAACTGGTTCAGTTAAGGAAATCTTTTGTGACAGCTGCTTTAAGGCTAGAAAAGGACAAAGAAAGTTTTTCCTTCCCAGCACATTCGTTTACTTTTCAGCAAGATTTAACTGCTATTTTGGCTATATTCAATCAGTTAGAGACAGCTTTCTTTATACTAGTAAGTAAACCTGGAATCACAGATCAGAGCGAATTGCAGACTATGGTCCGTCATGTCTTAAAAAGAATAGATAGAATGAACACTGGTGATGATGATGATGACTGTAAAGCTGCTAGATATGAGTGCTCACTCTAATTCAACCCATTAACGTCGGTGTTTCTGAATTGACACATATATTGCCAGAACATTTTTGAATTAAATATTTTATTTCATGCAAGAGCATCTTTGTTTATGTGTATGAAATACTTCTGCGATAGAAAAGTTTTATAAATATAGTCCACGTCTGGTATATAGTACTTACTTGAAGCGATTGTCCATTTTTTCACGTATCACAAAATAACGTCAGAAACAATTGCACCATACAGCTAAACTACTCTGCAGCAACTAAAATTAAACAGCTTCAGTGCTTACTGCACATCTCAGCAAGCCAACCGGCATAAACACCCCACCCCTGTACTATCTCATTTTGCCACAAATATTTTCTTTAAGAAGACAAGTAAGGTGTTGCAATATGGCAACACTAGGCGTTATTGGGTTAAGATTCATTGCACTTTGAGGGTGACGAAAAATTAATGAATATACAAAAATAAGTTTTAAAAGGTTCTACGTGAAGTAAGTGACGCATTTTGTTTAGTCACGCCTTGTTTTATTTTGGATCAATGATTTTGTTCAATGTGTTTTATATCGTGTAACTTTTAGATAATATAATTTGTGCATACTTACAAAGATTTGAGTTCAAAATTGAGTTTTAAAGAATGGTATTTATTACTTATGAATTTTATATGATACAGAGTATAATACTCCTACATTTAATGTAACCCAATAGCAGTTTGTCTAACCATTTACATAACCATTAAGATGAAATATAGCATTAAAATTTGACAAAATTCGGATAACCTTCCCACAATAAGCTATATAGGGATTGGGGTAGAGCAATATTAACAGGTGCAAAAAATATATTCGATTTTTTTGTTTCGTTTGATTACTAGATCGTTGCTAACTAAATATACCTGTAAATTTCTTTTTGTTATGTAATTTTATTTAATGAAACAATTTTGTATGTCGGATTGATTTGAAGTATCATTTTTTAACATTATTTTTATCTTTACAGCTCGCCTTGGTCTTAGCCGCCATTATCGGGCTCAAGAAACTCCTCAGCCAAGAGAAGCACGTCACCTACGAAGTAGTGGCCCACCCCAGCCACGAACACCACGAACATCACGAACACGGCGGCGGTCACTCAGGAGGCGGTTTCGATGCACATGGTGGCGGCGGATGGGGCAGAAACTTCGATGCCCACGCTGCCCAGAACTTGGCCTACAGTGCTCACGTCCCACCCAACTAAAAATGTGATTTTCCTTCCGACCAGCTTGCACCATATTGGTGTCTCGTTCTGAAGTTTACCTAGCTATTTATGATTTTAATTTAATATTTATTTGAATTTTGTTATCTGTTGATATTTGTTGCAATAAAAGAAATTATGAATTTGTTACAAATATTGATTTTATTATTTAATATTAAAAGATATAAAGGTTTGTTCCAACAACGATCTTGGAATCTAATCCACAAGTTATTATTGAGAATCTATCAGCAACTAGTAATCGAAACCTCTGTGTGATTGGGCCTCAACTCTGAACTCAACAGACGCATAATAACAATAATAAGCCACAAAATAAAATGAATGATAATAAACGAAATTTATAAAGACTAAACTCGATTGACAAACACAAATCAGAGCTGGCAGGGACGATAGAATCAAGAACTTTTCCGATTATAGCGGCTTTGCGCCTGTCTTGACAATTTGTTCCTATTCAGACCCAGGAACTGATTTAACAGTATACAAATCGGTTTGTCATTAGTTTTAGTTGTGTCGGAACTAAGTTTTCGTACAGTTTTGAGTCTGAAGCTTGTTTGAACACAAATTCTACACTGTGCAGAATACCGATAGTACGTAAACTGATTTGGTTTATGTTGGAACAAACCTTAAAGAACCTTTGTTAACAAAAACAGTGAAAGCTCAAAGAATAAGGTGGCTGGGACATATCTGGAGAATGAGTAAAAAGTGATAGTAAAAAAGGTGTTAGACAGGAATTTCCTAAACAATAGAATAAGGGAAAGACCAAAAGTAAGGTGGAAACAACAAGTTTAAGAAGATATATTAGAAATAGGAAACTGGACAACAATTGCTAAGGATAGAGGAAAATGAATAACTGCAGTGGAACAAGCTGTGTGCGTGCTAATAGGCCGGTTACGTTTTATATGTATGTTTATATGGAAACTTCTAAAGTCATCAAAATTGTTGTCAAAATTAAATGACGTTAAGGAGGTTTCTGGATATCAAAATTTTACATGGGCAGGCTTAATGATTAAAGAAAACCAGTATTTCTAGATAAACAGGCTTAAGGGATAAGTGGCATAAATAATTTACATGATCAGGCTTAAGAGGCAAAGGATCTAAATATTTTTACATAAATTGTATAAACAATTTGTAAACCCTAATAAAGATACTTGGTTTAATCTAAGTAACGTAAAAGCTTCACGAACTTAAAAATTTAACACTTTTCATCGTTTTTTACTCTTTCATTTAAATCAAATAGTTTCTTGTTCATTTTATGCTACAAGTGTTCCCGTGAGGGTCTCTCGAATTTTAGATGAAAATGATCACGTCGGTCCAATTTTAATTACCTCTACAAGTACCTGCAACTTTTAAAAACTTATTTCCTACTTTCCGAAACGTAGTCGAAACGAAATTTAAATTATACCAAGTGCCTTCTTCCTAAGTTTTACATTGCTAAATTTTCATTAAAAACTTTTTCCGCTATTTTTAATTACGGCCACTTTTATCAGTATTTTTTATGTCGAAAACTAGAAACTGTATTTTTAAGGAGTTCTGAAAACTTTATTTCACGAAACTGTGAAACATTTATAAGAGGCTTTTAGACGCTCTTCTGCAGTTAGAATGGTCTTTAGTTTGCTTTAGAAAAAAAAGTGTCAGTACAATTGTATAAAACGTTAACTTTTATTGACAGTGGCCATGGGAGTCTGGAAAGTTCAGTGGTAATAAAACAATAAAAATAATATTTTTTGACATTATATGATTCTGACTCGGTAGAAGCGCTATAAAATATTAACGGGGCGTAAAAATTGTAGAAAATCCTAAAGAAAACCCCATGCTCTGGAAGTTTTATAAAGTTCTTTATGACTCTCAATAAATGTGATACTTCTAAAAAAAGGCATCAGTTACGAGGATGTTTAAGGATTTTTTGAGGATGTATGAGGATGTACGAGGATGGAAAATGATTTACGAGGATGTATGAGGATTTCTCGAGTATGTATGATAATTTCTTGAGGATGTACCAGGACCTAAAAATGTTTAACATGAATTACTTGGTTTAAAACTACCAAAAATTTATAAATTGCTATAAAGCTATACAGAAAATTGGAAAATGCATAAATATTTTGGAGTAAGTATGAATTGCACATTAGGGTGGGGTTAAATTAGTGCGGAAAAGTTGCAAAATGTAAGAATGATTAACGGGCTATTTTCATTTTGTTTTCAAAATGTAATTTTCAGGGCTGTACACCTACTTGAATTTTCCTATTTTACCGGCTAATCTAATAAAACGGAGTAATAAATGAAATATTATCACTTTTGCAAATATTTTAATAAAAAGGAAAATAAACATTTTAAATATGTTTTGTTTATAAACGAAAGCGAGTACAACTTAATAATATAACATGGACGAGCAAACAAAAAAAAAATAGAAATATGAAATTCATGCATTGTATTTCGACTTAAATCGAGGTAGTATGGTTCTAGAATGAATCCTTGCACGAATAGAGTCATGGCTGACAACAGAATTGGAAGCTTTTGTTACAACCTTCACGCACCTCTTTAGTGCCTGTGTATGGCAGGAAAAGGTCGAAAAATCTACAGGACAAGTTCCTGTATCGTTTATAAATTCTCTGATATCTCTATTACTTGCAGTACTTAAAAGAGGTGGTGCTGTAGCTGAGCAATTTTGCCAATCAATAACCTCATAATATTCACTGGCATCGAAATCTAATTCAGGAAAAACAAATTTCCTTACGTCTGAAAAAAATGTTTTGTGCGCCTTCAATATTCTTCCTAAGACAAGTTGTCTTATAGCAGGACGGTCAGCAGAAAGCATTGCTAGAAGAAGGTTCTCCGCATGACAAAAATATGCATTTTGTTTGATAAAAAGATCGATGACTGCCTTTAATTCGTTGTTCAAGTAGCGTGAAAACTGTATCATTCCGAAACGTGTTTTCCTCCATCACAACATAATGCTTTTCTTTTAATGTCAAACCACACTAGCGCATAAACTTTTACCACAAATTCAGCGATTGTTCTTAAATTTGTAGACGGACATTTACTTTATAACGTGATCTTGTTATTTTATCTATTTTTATAGTATTTTAAGCTCTTATGATTTTGGGGAGTGGATCAGAATTATTAAATAACTCGTATTACTTTAAAAAATAATGTTGAGCCCCACTATAATTAAAACTTACTAAACTTGACTATGGATTAGTGATAAAAATATAGAAAATCACTAACCATTAAGATATGATAATTAAATAAAGTCTTAGATAAGGTCGCAACAAATTCTAATTCACAGAGACTTACTTATTCAAATTTATATGATTTATTCAAGACTTATCTGAATGACAGGAGGTAGTAAATTAGGAGTGACTTGTAGAGGCCTTCTTCGAAGGGACTCGAAACGATATTCTTCGGATAGTACAAATCTTCACAAACTTCTTCAGATGGAACTCGAACCAAACCTCTTGACACAACTTAAAATAAACCTCCTTATAAGCAGCTTGAACTGAACTTCTATACTTGTATATTTCTATAAACTTCTATACTTCGATAACTTCTATATCTTCTGAAACTTCTATAAACCATCTAGATATAGCCAGGCTTTTTAAACTCAGACGGCCATTAAGAATATTAATAGACAATTAGTACATCAGATGACCCAGATAATTAAAAATTTAATAAATCAACTTGCTTGTTGACAGAGACGAATCGAAATGATAATCCAACTTTTGACATAAGGCATAAACGACAAATGACATTTGTGTAGAGATGTTGGTGTCTAAATAACGAAAACGGTTTCAACCATTTACTTCCGATAGAAAGACGCAATATACGGTTTGCCTTTCCAAAGAGGGGATGTTTAGAAAATTCTCTATCGAATCATACTCGCAAAGGACACCCAATTTATAGGCTATGTATCTTAGAAATTTATGTTGCACATTTTCTATGTTTATGCTGTGCGTTATGTAATGTGGAGACCAGACAGAAGAGCAGTAATCTAGGTGAGGTCGGACTAGTGAATAATAAAAGACTTTAATTGCAGTTGTGTTAGTAAAATCATGTGTTAGCCTTTTGATAAAATCTAACATTTTCATGGATTTATGGTTAGCCTTAGGTATGTGTTGATTGAAACTTAAAGTGGGATCTACAATAACTCCAAGGTCTTTAATTTGATTAACAGACTCCAAGATACGACCCTTTTAGGTTAATAATCAAAAGTAGTAGTTGGTACATGGGATCGATAAAAGCGCATGACATGGCAGTTTATAGCATTCAAGTCCATGCCATTTAAGGAACACCAGTTTGATAGATTATCAAAGTCAGAGTGAAGCAAGAGGGCACCATAAATGGTTTTAATAATTAGGAAAACTTTTAAATCATCTGCAAACAATAGTGCTTTGTCATACTGAAAACAATGAATGATGTCATTTATAAAAAAGTTGAATAATAAGGGATAAGGTGTGATCCTTGAGGAACAACTGAGGTAACTTGAAGTGATGGTTTATTCTACCCATTTGAGTTCTGTTCATAAGATAACTACTAATTAATTGCAGTAAGACCCCATTTATGTCATATTTATCGAGCTTTTGAAGTAAGAGAGAATGGTTGACCCTGTCAAAAACCTTAGAAAAGTCAGTGTACACAGAATCAATCTGGCAACCCTTCACTAAAGCTTCCGACAGGAAGTCGACGTAGGTAACTAGATTTAATTCAGTCGTTTTCCCAGCACAAAAACCATATTGATGATCCGTTATGATGCCAGATCAGTCATAGGTAGGGTAGTATGTTATAATGTTCTCAAAAACCTTAGGTATAGTACTGAGAATAGATATAGGATGGTAATTTTTGACGTCTGACTTGCTACTCGATAGTCTCCAATAATCTGGAAACTCAACCGTGGCGATCTTTATCTAAGGTGGCGATATATTTATTGAAAATATAGAAGAGAGGGCGAGACAAAACGAAGCTGCAATTTCTGAGTAGGATGGGAGGAATAATGTCAGGACATGGACCTTTCAAGAATAGATAATTTCTCATAAATAGTCGAAATAGGAATGTGGTAAGAGGAAACATTAAGTTTTGATTCAATATCGTTAAAATTTTAATTTATATTTTGATTA